CTTAGGTCATGATCTCACAGTTCGTGGGTTCGAGCCCCGCGTCGGGCTCTGTGCTGACTGCCAGCTCAGAGCCTGGAGCCTATTTCAGAGTCTGTATCTCCTTCTCTCTCTGACCCTCCCCTGCTCACGCTGTCTCTCTCTCTCTCTCTCCTAGAAATAAATAAAAATATTAAAAAAAAAATATCCATTTATTTTTAAGAGAGTGCAAGCAGGGGAGGGGTAGAGAGACGGGGAGAGAGGATCTGAAGCAGGCTTTGGTGCTGACTGCAGCCAGCTTGATGTGGGGCTTGAACTCATGAACCATGAAATCATGACCTGAGCCAAAGCTGGATGCTCAACCGACTGAACCACCTAGGTGCCCCATAGAAACAATATTTTAGAATTGAGAGATTAGGTTTTAAATTAATGCAACTGAAAAAAATAATAAATTGGGTCCCCTGGGGAAGTCTAATTACTGTATTAGAGTATTTTCTCTGAGAAAATACAATCTCTTCTTCTTTAAAAAAAAAGTTTATTATTTGGAGAAGGTGAGAGAGAAAGTGTACACAGGGGAGGGGCAGAGAGAAAGGGAGACAGAATACCAAGCAGGCTCTGTCATCAGTACAGAGCTTGATGTGGGGCTCGAACCACAAACCACCATGAGATCATGACCTGAGCTGATCAAGAGTCAGACTCTCAACTGACTGAGACACCCAGGTGCCTGTACTCTCTTCTTGCTAGAAGGGCCCCGAAGAACTCACCTGTGATCTCTGCTGTGGAGACCGGGTGCTTATAAATACAAGTAAGCTGTAAGACATGAATGAAGAATTTGTTGGGTATTCCTAGGGATGTGACGATTTCTAGTTCATAATACGAGAATTCTGAGTACTTCCGCATTTGGTTTCCAGACACTTTGTGTAAATCAATCAGGATCATACCTGTTTTACCTTTTCAGTGTTTTGAACCCATTTCATCTGTAATGATGCAAGCTGGCATGATTTACATTCACTTGAAACTACACTTGATTTTCACTTTATGTCGTGTTATATTAAATCACCATATGTAGAATGCATTTTTACAGATAAAATCCTGTTTCTATAGAGGAGAGCACATAGAAAAACAGTGGCAGCAGTGATCCATTTTGTAATCTGAACATTGGTCCGTTCGGCTTTTTATTCTTTTAAAAATGGGTGCAAAGAAGGCCAGATGAAGTGAATTAGGAAGGCCTGGGCTTTAAAAATCAGGCAGTTTCTTCAAATTCCAGCTCAAAATGTGTGAATTCAGGCATATTCCTTAATCTTCCTGAGTCTCCATTTTCTGCCAATGAAATTACCAATGACACTTTGAAGTGGTACTTACCACCCCGATATTGATGATAAAACTGTTTAACTTTCCCTTCTTCATCTGTCGCCATCTCAGTAAATGGAAGTATCTGCTTCCATCTGCACTGCTGTTTGGACCCAAACCACAGAATCATCCTGAGGCTCCTTTTCCCCCCTCCTCCCATGACACCCAGTCTACCGAAACACACACTCAGTACACCTCCCTTTCTTCTTCTCTGGGCGTTCCAGGCAAACCACCATCTCCTCTTCATGTTGCCTCCATTCTGTCTTCATATAGTAGGTGGAGAAGTCTTCTGAAACAACCTTATTCAGGTACTGGTGGTCTTCATCCCTGCTTAAAACGCTTTAAGTCATTGCATTCAGACTCATATCCCTTCAGTGACTTACGAGTTTTTTTCTGTTTGTTTGTTTTGAATGATTTGGTAATTCTATTCATAGGCATTTTATATGTTTATTGACACTATTCTGAATGGCATCCTTTTTAAGTTAAAAATTCCAATTATTTTTGGTATATAAAAATGCAGCTGATTTTTGTATAATTTTGTATCCAGCAATCTATGTTACTTTTTTAAAAAATAGTTTATTGTCAAGTTGATTTCCATACAACACCCAGTGCCCATCCCCACAAGTGCCTTACGAGTTTTAATGTTCTCAGTTCCTCTCCACCATCTAATATTCCCTTACACTACCGCCACACTTACTCCTTATTCTTTGTTTTTGTTCCTTGCCTCAAGGCCTTTTCATAAAATATTCCACCACCGAAAGGGTCTTTCTTCAGACCTTCTCATACTTCACTTCTTTTCATTGATTTCTGAGTTTCATCATCTTGGCTCCAAAGAGGTCTGTCTTAACCATGCTGTGTAGAGTACACCCTACCCAAAACACATCATTCTTTAACATATTATCCTCTCTCCCTTTCCTTACAGCACCTACTAATAACTAAAATCAGCTTCCTTATTTGATTGCTGGTCAGTTATTGTCAACTACAATCAGTACCATGTGCCCAGTAGAAATAAGAATGCAAGAGTTTGGTCAATTGCATTTGTGTGTATACACAACACCCAGAACAGTGCTTGGCAGTTATTGGATGCACAGTATATAATTGTGGAAATCCTAGGTGTTAATAATTTTCCACAAATCTGTGTGTGTGTGTGTGTTTGTGTTTCCAAGTGACTGTACCACTTGTTATGTAGGATACAAAGTTAATCAGATACTGATAGGATGACTTCTCCCACAAGAGAGGAGACAAACCATGTGTCCTGGAAAAACTTACAAACAGGAGCAAAGAGAGGCAGAGAGAAAGGGTGGGGGATGATAAATTTTTTTTTTCTTACATGGAGCATACTGCAGAGTGTGCCATTTACCCTGGTCTTCGGTGGCTTAAAATTTCATGAGCAAATGTCAAGTTAATTTTGAAACAATTACTGGAACACAGCTAACTGAGGCAGAAAATCATTTTATTATGAATAGAATGAATTATTCCTTGGGTGCCCTTAAGGTTTGCATATATACCGTCATAGAGCAGAAGCAAACTAAACTTGGCAGTGCAGCTTTCGTGTTTTGTAAGATTGATTCACAATATTTAATGGTGCGGCACATTGTGTAACATTTACAGCAACTTTCTCACTCTCTTGTTTGAAATGAGCATCCTGTTTAGTTAGGCTTTGCAAATCTCTTCATGGGATAGAAATTATAGTCAGGGTAGGAACTGGAATTCCATGGAGCACACTCTCTCCCTAACTCTCACACTTAATCAGACATTTGTAGTCAAATTACTTTCATTTCCTTCTTTCTCCACTCTAAAGTCACACTTCCCAGGTATTTTTAGAGGATTAATTAGTTTCCATTAATTAATTTGTTTCCCTTACTGCTTTAATAACTCTATGGAACCTCAGAGTTACTCACTGTAATGGTGTGGACCTTGTTTGCCAAGTGCAATACAATACCCTTTGTTAAAATAGAATTCATCTGTTGATATCAGCCAATTAACTAAAGTGTGTTTTAAATGCCTACCTTGTGAGTCACTTTGTGCCCAGGGCCCTTTAGGGACTCCAGGAGTAGACTACTAGGTTGCCACATTCAAAAACTTTAAAATCTAATTGGGAAGAAAAGATTAACTTGTAAGACCATCGAAAATGAATGCAATATAGCTGGAGTAATGTCTTTCTAGAAATGTCTCCTGAGGCAAGAGAAACAAAAGTAAAATTAACTATTTTTTATTGGTACTACATCAAAGTAAAAAAACCTTCTGCACAGCAAAGGAAATAAGCAACAAAACTAAAAGGCAGTATACTGAATGAGAGATGATATTTGCAAATAACATATCTGATAAATGGTTATCATCCAAAATATGTAAAGAACTTATAAAACTCAATACCCAAATGATGAATAATCCAAATAAAAAATGGGCAGAAGATATAAATAGATATTTTTCCAAAGAAGACATCCAGTTGGCCAACAGAAACATGAAAAGATGCTCAGCCTCACTCATCATTAAGGAAATACAAATCAAAACTATAATGAGATATCACCTCTCATCTGTCAAAATGGCTAAAATCAATAAGACAAGAAACAACAGGTGTTGGTGAAGATGGGGAGAAAGAGGAACCTTCTTGCATTGTTGGTGGGAGTGAAAACTGGCACAGCCACTCAGGAAACAGTCTGGAGTTTCCTCAAAAATGTTAAAAATAGAACTACCCTACAATCCTGCAATAGCACTACTAGGCATTTACACAAAGAACACAGCAACACGAATTCAAAGGGACACATGCACCCTGATGTTCACAGCAGCGTTATCAACAATAGCCAAATTATTGAAACTGCCCAAGTGTCCACTGACTAATGAACAAAGGAGATGTGTATATGTAGTTAGTGTAATATTATTCAACCATAAAAAGGAATGAAGTCTTTCCATTTGCAATGACATGGATGGAGGTAGATAGTATTATGCTAAGTGAAGTGAGTCAGTCAGAGAAAGACAGATACCATATGATTTCACTCATATATGAAATATAAGAAACAAAAACAAGTAGCAAATGGGGAAAAAGGCCAACCAAGAAACAGCCTCTTAACTTCGAGAACAAACTGGTGGTTACCAGAAGGGGTGTGGGGGGGAGGGGTGAAATAGGTGATGAGGATTAAGAAGGGCACTTGTGATGAGCACTGGCTGTTGTATGGAAGTACTGAATCACTATTTTGTGGACCTGCGACTACTGTACGTGAATTAAGTGAAATTTAAATGAAAATTTAATAAAATCAATACAATTTTAATTAAGCTTCTGCTGTATGTAGCATGAATAATGAGTGACAGGAAGGTCCTAGGGCATATGGTACCAAAGTTCAAGAGAGCTTCATTGTTAGAGTCCCACTGAATTGGAAGTCACATATTTATCATCTTGCCAGAAAGTCTACTTATGGTTATTTTGTCCCCAAACCTGAATACCCCTTTGGTTTTCGGGAGGAGGTCCAATTAAACCATAAGTCATTCCAAGAGTGGCACTGCTCAACAGTCAACCTTTATGGAGTGTCCAGCGGGACTGAGAAGGGGTAGACACATCACTGATGAGTGATCGATGAATTTTAATTAGACATGAGCATATGTTTTATCATTTAATTCTTATAATTATCTTGCAAAATAGATTTCCTTGTGCCCATTTCATAGTTGAGGAAACAGGTGCACAGAGGGGACAGAACTTGTACCAGATAAGTCAGCTTGGGATGGTGGAGACAGAAGTTTCCTTTTCCTGAAGCTGCTCCCTTTCTCCAGCATCACACAGCCTATTGGATTAAAACAGTCATCAACATTACAATGTTATGGCAGGTGTTTGGCGAAGATTTGATTAGTTTCTATTAATTAGATTTTCTTACTGAATGATTTCCCCCTGTAAGCCTAAGAATGACCCATGATAGGAAGGGTCTTTTTAGCAAAGTACAGTATCAAATTCGTAATCACATCTCCATTTGACAAAACGTATCGTCTGCGTCTTTAAGAAGTTCTCACACTAAGATGGGTCACAGATAAACATTATCAGTTATAAAACACCAAGAGTCAACAATAAAATTCAAGAGGTGAACTTTGTTTTTCTGTGACAGTTCTCTCCTTCATAATCACGGAAATTCTTTCATGAAAGAGCAGCTTGTTAAGGAAAATAAAGCTGAGAAGATTAAAATATGATTATGCTCTTCTGTACCATTTTTAAAAGAATAATGTTTAAAAGCTAATTCATGTTGTCAAGACATGTTGGTGAAGTTATACAATACGCTAGCAATCTGTTTCCCATGCAGATCTAATTTGCATGTTATGATTTCTCAAGGAGTACCAATTTGGTGCTTTGCTCCATTTATTCAAAACTAAAATTGGAGTTTTAATATTGTCTGCACAATAGGGTTGTCTAAGGAAACTTCATAATACCTGTATTTTGTACATACAGGTATTTGCCCACTTTCTAGAAATTCCTTTATAGTCATTTACTTACATATACCAGGGATTATCTAGGAAGATTCAGGACCATATGCATATCTAAGGAGAAGTCCGGTAAGGGAATAATTAAAGAATACAATATATTTCTAAATGAGAAATGGATTTATCAGTGTTGTGATCATCCATGCATTAGCTTTGCACTATCAAATATGGTGGCCACTTGTAGCTACTGGTCATTTTCTATGCTGGATAGTCCCATCTGAGATGTACTGTAAGTGTAAAATACACACCCGATTTCAAAGACTTAGAAATACACACACACACACACACACACACACACAAAGTATCTCATGAATATTTTATACTGGTTATATGTTTAATATTTTGGGCACATTGGTTTAAAGACAATATATATTAAAATTTTATCTGCCTGTTTCTTAAAAGGTTTTTTTCAATGTTACTGCTAGAACATTTCAGATTACATGTGTGACTCACATTATAGTTCTCCTGGACAGAAATTTTGTAGGCAAAGAGCCATATTCCTTCCTATACCTTGATAGTAATTCTTTTTTTAAAAAACATTATGTTTATTTATTTTTGAGAGATAGAGAGAGACAGAGCATGAGTCAGGGAGAAGCAGAGAGAGAAGGAGACAGAATCAGAAGCAGGCTCCAGACTCTGAGCTGAGAGAACCAAGCCTGATGTGGAGCTCAAACCCACAAACCATGAGATCATGACCTGAGCCAAAGTCAGACGCTTAACCGACTGAGCCACCCAGGCGCCCCTACCTTGATACTAATTCTTATTTCCCGTGATGGTGGAACTCAAGCCTGCAGAATGGAAAACAAACCAAGTGAGGTTGTAACTATGGCCCGGTCATCTCAACTCACTTACTGTCTACCTGTCCTCCATGAGTAAATGTGAGGATGAAAAGGATGGAGCCTCTTCTGTCTGTCTGGGTTCCTGGGTAAGACAAGCCCTCATTTAATGTTACTTCAAGGCACGATGGGTAAAAAGTCCTAAAAGAGCAATAAAGTGCTTGGTGGCTTGAAGAAAGAAAAGGAAGAAATGCTTAATTTTATTTAAGGATTTAAGGAAAAGGGAGAATTTGGGTAGAGGCTCAGGCTATCTGGAAGGAATAGCATAAGGAATCCCGAAGAGGTACAAGTTAGTATCCAGCTGACCCAGAGCAGAGTCATAGAAAACAAGTACAAAAGACAGGTGTTGTATGAATTGTGGACACCTCTGATGCCAAGGGGGCAAAGGATTTATCTTTAATTTGTTAGCCTATGGAGAGACACTGAAGGCTTATAGACATTCCAGAAATGTAGTTTTGACAAGTTCCTATAAAATAATGGCATTTACAGGGCTCCTGGGTGGCTTAGTCGGTTAAGTGTCCAACTTTGGCTCAGGTCAGGATTTCTTGGTTCGTGGGTTCGAGCCCCGCGTTGGACTCTCAGCTGACAGCCAGCTCAGAGCCTGGAGCCTATTTCAGATTCTGTATCTCCCTCTCTCTCTGACCCTCCCCTGCTCACTCTGTCTCTCTCTCTCTTTCAGAAATAAATAAAAAATTTAAAAAAATTTTTTTTAAATGATGGCATTTGGATTCAGATAGGAAGAAACTAATTTAGGATACTGCTGTAGCCTTTCGGTCAAAAGGTATTGAGGACCCATAGTTAGATGGCAGAATGCGGACAGCAGGAAGACTCGGGCATCAGAGGTGTTCCCGAGGTGTTGCATTATATTGAGGCCCCAACTGAACATATTCCATAATAGAATGTCGTGTGTGTGTGTGTGTGTGTGTGTGTGTGTGTGTGTGTGTGAACGAACCGGGAAAAGGAGTAAGACAAGTTTGGTGCACTCACTTATGATGTAAGCACTGTATCCCACTGATGGCTGGAGGGATGGTCTGTACTTCAGATCCCACGTGGAAACACAATGGTCGTCTCAAGGAGTCAGGAAAGTTTGTCTTTGACTCTATTGACTGTAGCAGAAAAGAGGCAAGATAGATTTGTGAATCTGCCCGTTCAGCAGGAAAAAATGGTAGCTGCCATACTCTTTGCAGGGCAAAAAAAGTAAAAGTGTCCTGGGAATTTGTTCTCAACATTTGAGTCTAAAGAAGCAATTAATTGTTGGTTGAAAACTCGTTCTTTGTTTCTTTGTAGGGTGGTCTGAGATGGTGGGGGTGGGGGTGTGTTTGCCACAGCAGAAGTACAATTGCCTTTTTCTTCTCCCTTCATAGTTAAGAAAGCTTTCTTAAAGTAAGAGCTTTCCTCAGCTGTGCTAAAGTGTCCCAGGAAAACGGTTCTATCCCTGCTTAGTTCAGAGCTGTAAATTGTTAAAAATAACTATTTTCAAGACTCCCTGAGCCCAGGTTTATAGAGAAGGTAATTTTCTTACTGACGGCAGATAGTATTTGTGCTATTTTTTCCCACCATCAGATACCCATGTTATGTTCATACTTTCTAGCCAATTTAAACATTGGTAACAAAGTAGAAATAGTTAATGATATATATTCCGAGTCTTAGGGGAATTCAATGAATACGTTTAAATTTCTCACACCTGTTTCAGACCCGAGAAAAAGGATGTACCTGTATTCCCTTCTTCTCGACTCATGTCATTATTCAGGTCTCAAGACAAACTAAGCATTTCCCAAGAGAGAAATAGAGTTATTTTGGGGTGGTGTGTTTTGTAAATATGGATGTGAGAGTCAGCTCTTTGATTAATTCTCAAACTCTGCACTCAGATCTCTAAAAAGGTTCTCATTTTGTCCTTCAGTGTTCAGTTCAGAAGGCTTTTTCTGTGAACAGTGTGCTTACAGAGGCCTCATTTTTGTCATCAGAATAATATAGGACCTTCTCCTCCTGGCTGGAAATTTTATGTCATTGAACTCTACTTTTTAAAAAATATAAAGACTTTATTTCTTTATTTCACTTTATTTCCAGAAGGAAAGCATGAGGAATGGAGCTGCAGAAAGGGACTTTTCCTAAAGGAAAACTGTAATGAATAGCGGCAGTTTAAATCTTCCTTAAGGTGTATTGTATGGTTTGTGGAAAGTAAATGACCCATTTCAAACACTGAATTCTCACTCTTTGTCAGGATTTCAGCTCTTTGCCCAAAAGCCAAGTGTATATTATAAGGAGTCCATAGAGAGTCCGTATTTCTATGGCGATCCTTGCCTTATATGGAAGGATAAAGTGGGGAAGGTGTGGAGACCCTTGTCTACCATGGGATTCTAATATATTAATATTCAGAAATTACTGGGGCACCTGGGTGGCTCAGTAGGTGAAACCTCCAACTTCGGCTTAGGTCATGATCTCATATTCATGGGTTCAAGCCTCGCATTGGACTCTGTGCTGACAGCTCAGAGCCTGAAGCCTGCCTCAGATTCTGTGTCTCCCTCTCTCTCTCCCCCTCCCCAGCTCATGCTCTGTCTCTCACTGTCTCAGAAATAAATAATTAAAAGAAACATTTAAAAATTAATGATAATATTTGTATAGTAGTGGTCTAGTGTGAAATAGCATATGATTGAGAGTAATGAAATTAATGTCTCATAGATTTACACATACATAGCTTGCTTTGTATTTACATATGGGGAACTTGCAGCATGGTACAAGGGACACATCTTTGAATAAACTGGATCTACTAATCCTGGCTCCAGAGACCTTGGTTTTGATCAGGACACATTTCAGAACATCTCCAAGCCTCAGACTCATTTGAAAATGGTGATGAGAATACATTCCATTTCAGAGAATGATTTTTAAAAAATTTTTAATGTTTATTTATTTCTGAGAGAGAGAGAGAGAGAGAGAGTGTGTGTGTGTGTGTGTGTGTGTGTGTGTGTGAGCAGGGGAAGGGCAGAGAGAGAGGGAGACACAGAATCCAAAGCAGGCTCCACACTCTGAGCTGTCAGCACAGAGCCTGACATGGGGCTTGAACTCATGAATGGTGAAATCATGACGTGAGCTGAAGTTGGACACCCAACCGACAGAGCCACCCAAGTGCCCCTTTCAAAGTATGATTTTTGAGGCTTGCTTGAGAGACCATAGACATAAACTCAGAGCATACTCATCAACTGTTAGTGCTCTTCATATGTTATCCTAACTGGACACATCATATATGGATTCATACAGGCCCAGAACATTCTCCTTAATGATGCTCCTATATATGATTATTGTACTGTCATAATTTCCCCCAAGGTAATAACCATCACTATAAAGTTAAAGGCAGAATGACTCAGAGATGGCCATCAAATTATGTGCCAGGTCATATCCTACTGAGACTGTTTCCTGACACACTTATCAGAGACTGAACATTCGCTCATCTTTTGAGTCCAGATGGATGCTAGCCACTGCTTTACGTTCTGAGTAGACAGCATACATTCTTCTTAACATTATATTTTGGTTTTGGTGCATGTTGGAAAATGCTATTGCCTGCTCATTTGGCTTAATTCTAATTTCATCTGTCCCTCTGGCTCAAAGCATCTTGAAACTTTTATTCTAGAACAGAGATTTGAGACTTTAAAGATCATCTGCCATTTAAAATGCTATTTCTGGAGCTGGCCCTGGAGAGAATGATTCAAATTCTGAGCTAGGGACAAGGATGTAGCCCATACAGCCATGTGCTCAGAAGGTTCTGACCAAGAAATAGTCTACCTCTGTATTCCTTGGTTTTTCTCAAGGTTTTTATATCCAAAGTATTCTCATCAAAGTGGATTTTACTGTTTTTAACAATGGGAACTGCTTATAGGATTCATACGTGATGTCTTCTTGGGAAAACAAATTCTTGTTGGAATCAGACTTCGTAAAGAACATATGTTCCACTATTTAGTTGAAATAAGCCAACCTATGATTAGAAAAACAACCAAGTGTTGGAATTGAAGTGATTGGTTCTATAGTAGTTGGTTAGTAAGAAGGTAGTCAGAAAATTTGCCCCTTTTTCAATGCCATAGATATTACAACAATACAGATATGTGAGTTGAACTTTCGGTCAAGATGGTAAGAAATCTGAAACATCAGTTACAACAATCATCTTTTGATAATAGCTCAAGAAAATAGTCATTTTCCTTTGTTCCCAATGATGCTATGAATATTTTAAAAATTTTAAGTTTACTTAAGAGACAGAGAGCAAGAGGTAGCGAGCAAGCGGGAAGGATCAGAGAGAAAGGGAGAGACAGAGAATGTCAAAGAGGCTCTGCACTATCAGTGATGGTGGGCTAGGTCTCAGGGAACCATGAGATTATGACCCGGATGCTATGAATATTTTAAATGCACAAAACTTTTAAATAAATTCTAAATCAAAATTGTATTTTACTTATCCTGAGAACATCAAGATGTTTTGTCTCAGAACCATTCCCCATCACCCAACTAGAAAGGGATGATCTTCTTTTGGTGAATTGCAAACTGAATGTTCATGAGGTAGGGTACCCTATAAGCATGTCAGTCAACTATCAAGTGTTAACCATCTGCAATGTACTTAGCATTGCTAGCTACTGCTGGTGAGGGCAACAAGAAAGACAAACAAGATTTTAAAAAACCCTTTTGTATCAATCAGCTTTCGTAGGAAAAGGTTTGAGTTACCTGGGAGGAAAATAAATTCTGTTGCAATATCTAACAAAAAAGAATAATACAACACTTCATTCTGTGTGATTTGTAGTATAAAATGGGCATTTACTCGGCTTGGCACCCTGCCGTTCCTTTTCCTCTTCCTTTTGGAAATACTGTTGTACATTCAAGGGCAAAATTTGGAGTCAAGAAATCAAAATGATGGTTAAATGGTAAAAGGGAGGAAAATGGTATCATTTACCGTAAGAAGAGGAGATTGTGGAACTTGGACTTTCTGCCTTTGAATTCAAGAAAGGAATTTCTTCCAAGTAGGAGTATCCCAGATCTGTGAGCTGTCCTTGGCCTTAGTCAGAAATGGGACGAGGTGAGCATCGTGGAGGAGTGACTTCGGTACACACCAGCTCCTGTTCGTGAAGAGCGGGTTAGATACGTTCTCAAAGCCCCAGAGAGCTCTGTGTATTTGTGATTTTTCCCCCCTTCTGTTCAGTGGTGATCAGATCAACATAGCTGTGGCTAGTTTTGCGAAATTATTTTAGTTTCGGCATCTGGCACAAACACATGCAGGAGGTCAAACTCGTAAATCTCGATGTTAGTAGGGGAGCAAACATCCATCAGCGATGAGCTTTCCTTCTGTGCGCTCTCATTTCATAACGAGGAAATCCATGCTTGGGAGGCTGCCCCCCATGGCCATTTTCGCTCTGAGAATATGTGCCACTTGGGGAACCAGAGCGGACGTCTTAGGACCCTCTGGCTAATGTCCTTTCCATGCCACACGCCTTCCTTTGTGATGTCATGAGTCCTGTAAAGAGGATGTTACTGGTCTTTGTACTTCCAGACATTCTCCAAGCATTTAGGTGGTGGAAAGAATACTTGATTTAAATGAAGGAAATCGTTCTGTCACCAAGAAAAAAGTTTGCTCTTTTACTCAGAGATTTCCTTGCCAAAAACTAATTGCTTTGCATGAGAATGCTGCCCTTGTTTCATGCATTAGTAGAATCAATTCTTCTCTCTATAATACTGCTCAGCCTTTGTGACTGTCAGTGCTCTGGATGTGAAGCTGGAGTCTAAAGCCGAGTCATCACGCACAAAGGTTTATACAGCTGGGCCACGTGTCTTCATTTTAGGGCTGGTTTTACAGCTGTGAGCTCTAGGCATTGTGGTTCTCTTCTGTTCCCCTTTGATAACCCAACATGTAGACATGAGGGCATGGGGTGGCATTAGCTCCCCGGTAAGTAGTAGAGAAAGGAAAAGGAAATTAGGTGCCTTTGCTGACTTTTTCAAAACTTAATGAAAACTTAATGTGTGCCAAACACTCCTAGGTATCAGGGATTTGCACACATGCAATTGCCAGCCCTGAAATAACTGTAGGGTGCGTACTGGATACGGAGTATTAAACCTAAAAATGACAGATGATTTGACAAAGGTGTGAACATGGATGGGCGGTATCCAAATACACAGAAGGGGCAGTAGAAAACATTGTGTGAACTCATTTGACAAAGAGCTAGAAGTTAGTGAGGAAAAGTATTGTGTGTATGTGTCGAGGGTGTTGTCCTGTCTCCGTTCTAAGAAAAGACTTTGAGAGAGGAATTCGATAGCCCCGTGTTAGATATAAAACTTGCTGGTTATCAATAGGTTTTGGTTCATTCATGGAGTAAATTACCACCTCACTTCCACCGATCCAACCACCTCGCCTAATGAAATCCGTCAGGAAATTCAAGGCCGCATCTGTCATTGGACAGAATAAAAACTTTTTAAGTTAACTAGCACATATGAAAGATTAAACATCTGAGCTTTGAGGTTCTTATCATACATATGCTTCTACTCAGTAAATATCTGGTAAGCAGTGACTAGCTTTAGTACTTGGTTAGAAGACAAAAGAAAGAAGAGTAAGCTGTGGCTAGGCCTGCAGGAAGTTTTCAGACTGGTTAAGGAGATAAGACTGCCCTCAGTAAGAAAGACTATGCAACAACGCAATGCCCAAACCAGATGTAGGCTGCAAGGAGTGGTTATAAAGCCTCCTTCAGTACATGTTCATCTGGCGTCATCTTTGCTTCTCATCTGAATATTTCAATACACAGTTACACCAATACCCTGATTTTCAATTAGAAAAAATATAGACCCAGAAATTTCCACTCATAAGAAACACTTCTGATTTTGTAATTAGGGAGCCTGGTAATTAAATATGCCCAGGAAAGTTGTATTAGATTGCATTGCATTGGGTCAGGTACATGCTTCCATTTCACACCTACCAGCTCTTTTTAAGATAATAAGCAAATTAAAAAAAACAGCAGTTCAACATCCTCTACTCCCCCTATTAGGGGACAGAGATGCCTTCCAATATAGCTTCCAATTTGCCTTGCTAATTTTAATTAGCAATGAGTCACTGGACAGTTTTAGCAGGAGGCTAGCCCATAAAGAAACATATTCTGTAGCTGGAGACGCGGCAAAGGACTCAAACTGGGAAAACTCAAACAGAGACTTTTTCTCATTTGATTGAAGGTTAGACATGAGATAAAATAAGGTTTTCTCATTCCCTTTTCTCTGTCAAGAATTGCAGAAAAGGCTAACTGATGAGATGAACCTGAAGCAAAGCCTTCAGACTGTTGCTTTTGATCGGTTTGGCAAGTTGCTGCGTGCAGTTAATGAAACAGGTGTTTGCACCTGCCACACTGCACAGGTGGGGCCAACTGGTGGTCTCCTTGTTTTCTGGTGTTTAGTTTCCATCCATCTGCCAGAAGGTAGGATCCTTAGAGCAGGAACTAAGTGTTTCACCATGGCTTATGCTGACTTCCACGGCTCAGACCTACTCATTTTGCCGTTGTGTTACGCCAATACCTAGCTGTTCACAAAGCTGGTGAGAGGCCCACCTCCCAGCTGCCATAATTGTTGGTTGGAGTTCTGGGAGAGGATACCATGTCCTCTGTTCATCTCCAGGACTAGCCAAGAACAGCAGGTACCAGGCATTCGCAGTAGTTCTCAGCTACCTCCCTGTCTTCCCAGCCCAGGTCGTGTTTAACTTGGCAAGTCAGTGCACATTGATTTTGGGACTTGCTGCCTTTGTTTTTCTTGGAGAGAGGACTTTTTAAAAAAATTAGCCTTGACTAACATTTAGCTCAAATAGGCTACAGTTTGTGTATCATGCTTCATGAAGGAAACATGCATTTTTCATATGATCTTCACAAGGGTTGCATAATAAAGTTTAAATAGATAGGACTTCTGGATTTGAATACAGCAACTTGGAAAAGTGGCAATTCTTTTTGTCCTAAAGTGTGATTGCTTCATTCCTCATGTAAGCCTTTCCCAGTATAATACCAAGTCATCACAATCAATATAAAACACTGGTATTGTTACCAATAATACGTACATTTAGATGAGCAAATTATGCTTTGGCTTTGTTGGAATTGTTTTAGCTTAGTAGAATCTAAGAATAGTTTAAGCAGAAGAATGCCAGGTCTCCATTAAAAATGTATACAGTTCCCGGAGAGCATATCAGGAATTGGGAGATGTCTTATAATATACTTTATCCTATTTTGCTTTTAGAGTACCACTGAAACGGTCTGTATATTATAGTACATTGACGCTTATTGATAATGTATTCCTCACATACATGGGGTAGATCATCTTCAAGAGAAATGCTGATTTCCTTTAAGAAGGTCATACCCTAGGGACACCTGGGTGGCTCAGTCAGTTAAGCGTCTGACTCTTGGTTTCAGTTCAGGTCACAATCTCATGGTTTATATGTCAGGCACTGTGCTGACATTGCAGAGCCTGCTTGGAATTCTCTCCACCACCCCACCCACCCACGCCCTTACCCTGCTTATGTGCTCACTTGCTCTCTCTCTGTCTCTCTCAAAATAAATAAATAAACTTTAAAAAAAGAAGCTAATACCCTATCTTGAGGCCAAAATGAGACCCAATATCCGATTCTAATTGATAACTAATCATTGGTTATAGAGTATTTGCTTTCTCATTTCTTAGGTAAACCTCATTGCAATCAAGTGTCCAAGAGGGAATTGAGTTGAATTGAATGGACAGAACTGAGAACCAACTATAGACAGATCCCAATTACCAAAGACAGGGAGGAAAGTGTGGGCTTGAATGGAAGGTCTGGGGTGGTTAGGGCACTGATTCTCAAGTTTATGTGTATATGTCAACCTTCTGTAGTTCTTTAAAATGCAGATCTGGTTCAATAGTGTATTAGTTTCCTGTGGCTGCTGCAAAAGTTGCCACAGACTGAGTGGTTTAAAACATCAGAAATTTGCTCTGTCATAGTTCTTGTGGCCACAAGTGCACTGTCAGTTTCACTGGGGTGAAATCCACACGTTGGTTGGGTTGCATTCCCTCTGGAGGCCCGGTGGGAAGAATCCATTCCTTGTCCTCCAGCTTCTGGTGGCTGCTAGCATTCCTCATGGCCTCTATCTTCACACTACCTCTTCCTCTCTCACAAGAATACTTGTGATTGGACTTGGAACCCATCCAGATAATCCAGGATAATCTCAACATCTTTATTCCATCTACAAAAACTTTTACCACATGTGGAAATACTAATAGGTTCCAGGGGTTAGGACATGGAGATATTTTTGGGAGTTGTTACCTACCCAGGTGGATCTGGGTGGGAGTTCCAATTCTGAATTTCTAGCCCAGAAGATATGCTGGATGTTATTGGACTTGACATGACACTTGGATCAGCAAATGGCTGGGTGATCACTCTGCAAAGTTGAGCATAACCTATCTGGTTCATAGCGGGATTGTGCTCTCTGTGATTCAGAATCACATAGTAGCAAAGGACACGGGGGCAGGGTGAAACTTCTAGGAGACAGAGTGACCAAGAATCTGGATGGTTATTTGGGCATCAAACATTGATCTGGAGTGTTAGCCTGAAGCCCTGCTTCCAGAAGCAAAACTGGAGTCTTAGTCAGGAATCAAGCCAAGAGCTCCATTCTTTAAAGTGGGCAAACAAGAAACTTAGTGGGCAGATAGAGGGTCTGGATGCTAGTTTATGTCAACAAGTTCAGTGCCAGATTCTGCCAGATGGTTTACCTCAGCCTCCTGCCAACATGGCCAGGGCTGATTATGAAGCTAGCTAGGGTTTGTGTGTATGCATGGCTCTCAAACTGCTGACTGAGTCAATTTGGAACATGGCTCTGAAATCTCTAGTTTTAGCCAACAACTTACATGACTTACATGCTGGTGGTCAGGGAGCCATCTTTGGAAATTATTATTCAATGTGGTGAAAGCATCAGGATCTACCAACCTATTTTCATTTGAGTTAGACAAGCTGACTTAGTGGTAATGCATGGTACCAGGGAAAAAATGGCACCCAAAGGAAATCTGTTACTGATGAGATGGAAAGTCTAGCTCTTGGGTATGTTCTGCAGGTGGCTGTAAAGTCTCAAAATGGTTGAATATACGTAACGGTGTGTTGATTTACATCACAATACATGTTCTATTCAGTATGTTGTCCCACGTTGCAAATACATAGTTCATCATGGTGTACACACTTCTGGTGTACATGACACATCAGCACTGCATTCCCATCCATCTCTGTACATGCATGTGTGAGGTGTTACCTCAGACAGTGAGTTCTCTCAGACTTCACAGAAAAAAAAAAAAACAAAACCCTCTGCCTTTAGCTTAATCCCCATCACCAAGTAATCCAGTTTAGTTTTGCAAATTATCAGTCACCCATTCCAACACTCTGGCCAAAAGGGGTGGTTGT